TGTGTCTATATATCGTACTCACAATTGCTAAATGCCATTCAAAGACTTTATAAAACAATCGGCTACATATATCAAACTTGTTTGATGTTACATATTCTGTCGGCAACGCAATAATCTTGTGGAAGCAAGATTTTACTCAAGATTCAAGTCAGCAACAAAATCGGAAAGCGAGTATGTTTGTGTGCCCTCACCTTAATCAGCTAGTTAATAACCTACCTTGGTATTGTAAATGTGCAGCAGCTACATTATACTGTAGTTGTGAGGGAGAAAGAGCATGCTGTTGTTGATAAAGCAAGTCTACAAAGCAGAATTATTCAAAGCAAGTTAGGTAAGCGTTAAGCAGAGAGAATCTGTATATTGTTGCTGTTGAGGTATTAACAGTAGAAGAGATTGATGAAAGGTTTTATGTATTATGGCTTACCAGTAATTTAATTATTTGTTTCTATCAGCTGGTTTAGCAAACATTTGAATAATTATCCTAGCAGACTATTTTTACATTGACAAATTATGTTTTCCTTAGAAATAAGACAACTAATCCTGCAACCTATCATTTCTGTAAAGCTAAGCATTCTAATTTTTGCATTTTCTACTGAGTTATGGCCTTTCAACCGTGCTCTATAATCTACAATAGAATTACTTACTATGATTGTGCGTGTTAGCAAAGGGTGATGTAGGTGTTGTATGAGTATAACCTGACGTCATCTTGCTGCTATTGCTGTTATTGCTGCCTTGATGTGCTGCTATTGGTGATGATTGTATTCCTGCAAAGTGAAAACAAAAGGCGTTGTCAATATATATTAAACAATGGATATTCATCATACAAATCATGTAGGTCTCTTTTGACATCTGAATGACTGCATACTTCCATATTTTCCAAAATTAATTCTCAGACAAGGAAATTCAGCACCAGCTACACCACTAAGCTTATTAACAAAAACCTTAATAATGATATTCACATCTGAACAACAGAGCTGCAATCCTTCTGCAAAGGTCTACTAGAGGACAGACTCAATCTTTGTTGTGATGTAAAGCAATTCTTAATAAGAATATCTTCTAAATTAAAATTTAAACCTCTGAATTTAAAAATAAACCTACCATAAACTTCTTTATATGAAACACTAACAGGGGAGGCTGATGTTTGATAATAAGTCTTAGTTTGGTCAGTGGGTATTTTTTTAGCACTAGTAGATACAGTTTTATTGACAGGAGGACTGAAGGCAGACATGTTCCCTCCCTGGACACCGAATGCAGCATTCCACTGAGCCTTCATGTTATTAGCACTAGGATTGATAAGAGAAGTCATTCGACCTTGCGATTGTGGACTTGAATGTGGTTGTAAAAACACTTTAGATCTATCTATATTATCAGAAGATTTAGAAACAGAGGCTGGTGAGGTCACAATATATCCAGGTCGTTGTA